GCAATATGTATCTTTTCTTGGTTTTCTTTTATTCGCCAGTGTCAGAAAATCGATCAGAAAACTTAAAATACATTAAACATGTTTTAGTAATTCTGTCATATTTTTGTTCCAGCATACGAAATTCTCTCTGATGAAGAGAAGAGGAAGAATTATGATCTATATGGAGATGAGAAACTGACTCCGGGATTTGGAGGTAATTATGGAGATGAGAAACGGAACCCAGGATTTGGAGGTAATTTTGGGAATTATCAGGGACATACCACTGGTGGACCAGGGAGCAGTTACTTCACTTCTAACCAGGGTGGATGGCAGTCAATGGGTAGCAAAGGAAATGCCAGAACATTTTCCTTCGCCTTTAGTAGAAACCCTAGTGTTGGTGGAAATCCATTTGGTTTTGGCTTTGGTAATATATTTTCTGATTTTTTTGGTGGTGGTATGGAGGGTGGAAATCAGCATGATAGTTTCAGTACCTTTGGCGGACCAAACTCTCAATTTTCTTCTCATGGGAACATTCAGGATGTTGATTTGCAGCTTTTCAACAAACAAATAAAAGACCAGGGGTTAACTTGGCTTTTATTGTTCTATACATCTTCAGCCACAGGATACCATGTACTAGAATCCATTATGGAGGATGTGGCCAGTTCATTAATGGGAGCTGTAAAGGTAAATATGCAAGTATACATGCAAGATCACCTGCATTTGCTTGCATTGTATTATTCTTATGTGCTTTAGCAACTCTTTAGACCAGCTAATGAGTAGCATTTACTTCTTTGCAGGCTGGTAAAATTGATTGCAAAAAGCAGTCTCTCTGCAAGGATATGGGTGTGTCTCTTCCAAAGTCAGCGCGTCTCTTTATTTATTCCTATAAATCTGCTGAAAAAGCTTCATTGGTAGAATATAGTGGTGACCTTGATCCTCGGAGTCTGAAAAACTTTTGTCTGGATCAGCTGCCCAGGTTTTCTAGAAGGATAGAGTTTAGCCAGTTTGATTTTTCACCTGACAGCTCAGTAAATCGACCTCAAGTGCTGCTACTCTCAACCAAGAAAGAGACACCAGTAATGTGGCGTGTTATCAGTGGCTTGTATCGGAATCACTTTTTGTTCTATGATGCAGAGGTAGCCTACTTTCTGCCTTTTTAAATTTTGTTTAAATCTTGCTTGTGACAGTTCTTTTACTAGTGTATTTTAAGGGTCATTATGAGACAGAGGAATGCTCCTTAGTGCAAGCATAGTTTCTTAAATAAAGTAGCTTACCTTGTAATGTGGCGTGTTATCAGTGGCTTGTATCAGAATCACTTTTTGTTCTATGATGCAGAGGTAGCCTACTTTCTGCCTTTTTAAATTTTGTTTAAATCTTGCTTGTGACAGTTCTTTTACTAGTGTATTTAAAGGGTCATTATGAGACAGAGGAATGCTCCTTAGTGCAAGCATAGTTTCTTAAATAAAGTAGCTTACCTTGCAATGTTCAGATTCAATAATTATTATCAATGGAAGGTAATTGAACTATTTTGGCACTTCACCAATTTTACTTGAGTTATAGATTCCAGAATTATTTCAACATTTACACTGATACATGCTGAAGCATTTAGCTTGTATCTTGATTTGCCTTTTCTGCCATGAATATGTCACACATGTTGTATTTTATATACAAGCATAGGAAATTAATATGATTTTGTGTTTTGTAGGCTCATGATGTTTCACATCCTATGTTGAAAAGATTAGGAGTCAAGAAGCTACCATCTGTGGTTGGTAAACTAGTAACTGGTGAGATGCATGTTTTGAGATCTGGAATCATTGTTAAAGATTTGAAATCTGGCATTGAAGAGTTGAGAACCTTGCTTGAAAGTTTTGAGAAGAAAAATAAGGTGGCTTCTGATCATTCCAAGAAACCATCTCAGAATGAAGAGGGTGGAAATGTTCCTTTTCTCACAACTTGGAACATAGATAATCTTTGTGGTGAAAAGGCTACTGTATGTTTTATAGGTGTCTTCAGGTCATCAAAGGGAAGAGACAAGCTGGAAAAAATTGTTTCGGAGGTCAGTAGATCCTGCTATAGGTTTGTTTTGGTATCAAGGTTTCTTTGGTTTGTTATAGCTAATTGGATGGTACAATTTTATTCAGGGATGATTTTTGAATATTTTTGTTAACTGTTGTTAGTGGTTGGTAAAGATGCTTAAATTGCTTTCTTCCTGTCCTTCCATTTTCAGGTCTCCCGGAAGACTCTAGTTAGGCAGCAGAGCAAAGCCCAAACCACAAGGGATTCGATAACTTACTCTCTGTTGGATGGTAACAAGCAGCCGTCTTTCCTGTATGCATTTGACAAATTGGGGTATGGTTCTTTGGATAAATTTATAATAGCTTACAAGCCTAGGAAGCAAAAATTTGCAGCTTTTACCGGTGATGTGACGATGGAAGCGGTAGAGAAATTTGTTAGTTCAGTTCTTAATGGGGATATACAGTTCTCTAAGGTTCGACAGCAGCCTGTTATTAGATGAGGTAGTTAAAAATGTCAGTCCTTGTGAACTTTTCACCTTGTAGCATACCACAATTTACCCCATGGTGCAACTGACAGATCACTATGGAAGTGGCCCTGGGAAGAAAGGAAGCATGACAGTGATCTCACTTGTCAAGTAATCGTTGTATAGAGCAAGAATGAGACCAAACCCTGAAAGAGGTTTCTTACGGAAATATGTATTTTTTTTTTTTTGGGTCACTAATTTTAATCTTTGCCTTCACTTCTCCGGTGACTTGGTTATGTGACAATTCTCCAACCTGCATCTTTTCTTTCGTATTTTTGGGGGAGTGAAGTTCTCATATCTGGCATGAGAAAAATTATCGATATGATTGATATTACCACTTTTTTCACTGCACAGCTAAATGTTTTCCTCCAACTAGTTGACAAATTTGGTTTTGTAAAGTTTATTTGCATCTTTATCTATGCAGCCATATGAAGTTGGCTCTAAGCAGTTCAAATCTTTTTCTTTTTTCCTTTTTGTTCTGAAGGATTCTAAATGGCTTAGACCTGTGTAACAAGTTAGAGAGTCGGTCAATCTTCAGGTTACATTGGTGTCTCTGTTGATTTTAGTGCTTGCTGCTAATATATTCTGCTGTCTTCTCTCCTATGCTAACTTGCCTTGGCGTGCGTCGCACAGAACCCAGCCAACATCCAGATTTTTATTGATGGAACTGCTGACAAGGTGCCGAATTCTGCATTCTTTTCAGAATTACTCATTATCTCTTACTTTTTTTTTCCTTGAAAATTTTGGATCATAGGTTGTTTTGTCATCTGGTAAAGTACTCGAAATGTGTAATCATGATCATCATAGTTTTTGTTTATTTAATTGGTTAGAAAAACACACTATTTTTCCATGTTAGTTGTATTTGTATTTAAGTAATGGTCGCCGTGTCTCTCGTACTATCATCCATCATAACTTTTACCACTTTTTTTTTCTTTCGCCTGTGTCGTCACCGTCCGATGATCTCTTGAGAGAACCGCATGGATGGTGTTCTCGATAGGTTCAAGATGGTGACTATCCTGTGAAATTACTAGGGCCTGTAAATTACACCAAAAAAAAAAAGTGTAGTGGAAACTTGATTAAGATGGTTGGTATATAACAAAGACGGATGATGTAACACATGGCTTTGCTCCACTGTGTAATGCATCAAGGAAGATGGGTTTTGATAATGACCTGATTTGTCCTCAAATGCATGCCTTGACTTGGAAGTGTTTCTGACCCCGGCCATCCACTGTCCATCTCTGATCAGTTATCGATCATCGATCATGCATTGATTGGCCGGTGATCTGACGTGACAGCGATTGTGACCTCCAACCTGTCTCTAACATAGTCGATACCACGTCAGGTGTACATTATGATAATTAGCTGTTGAATTTTGGATGTTATTGTGCATCTTACGGGATCTCCACTTTAATGGAGCTGAGAAAGGCCCTGTGGCTCACGTGGTTTAAGGGTTGGATCGCGAGCCACCGGATAAGGAAGCTGTTCGACCAGCTGTCGGCAGTGTCAAATCGAAGGATTCATGGGGCCACAGTGATCTGTTCCATAACTAAAGAAAGGGATTGGACCGCGACCCAAGACACGATCCGAGGGACCGATGGCATCAACAAAGCTCGGTCTTTTTCTCCTTCCTTGCGTGCTTCCACTCAACATCTCGGGCATATTTGCAGGCTTTCCATCCGGTTTCCTGAAGCGATAAGACATGGCTATGGGTGGGTATCATCCATCACCTTCGGTAGGACACTTGCTTACGCAAGTCTTTGGATGACGTTGATAGATTCTCCTCTATTCTTTAAGGATCGGCAGCAGCAGTAGATGATGAGGGAGATACAATGCACTGGGTGTTCTAAAAGATCAGGCTTCTTCAACTCTTTCCATAATTTTTGTGGTTACAACGGCCTCATCCATCATCATCATCTCACAGAATCAATCCTACATACAAGCTAGCCATCATTCCTTCCTTTCCTCGCTGTTCTTTGCAACTTCTTCCGAGTAGTCTCAGTGCAATGAACCAACCCGACTCTCATGCTGTGAAAGTTGGGGTGACCTCTCCCTAGTTTTGTTTACCGCTAAAATGTGATGGCAGAGAGTCCCACAACTAGACAAGTCACACTGTCCCTTTCTCTCTCATACTTTGCCTTGGCCGCCCTGCCGACGTTGTACTCTGCTTGTACTTGGTAGCCATGGGTCCAAAGCGAGTCCGCCCTTCACACGATGGGTCAACCACTACTTCTATGATTGCTTCGTGGGGCCGATGATAGTTTACTTGATGTGACCCACATGATATGAGGAGTCGTACGATAGCAAAGACTTTTGATGTTCTTCTGCACACAGTCACATAACTCTTACCTTTCTGATTTCCACCAACCCGATGAGGATGAGGATGAGGATGGGACTCCCTGACTGTCACGACCCACATCATCTCCAACCTACGCCCTAACCGCGGAAGTGACAGAGACAGAGAGAGAGAGCAAAAAGAAGTGCTTCAACTGGATAAATGACACATTATTCATCTGTTCCTTTGGTGACTCTTTGAACTCATGCCTCTGCTTTTTCTCCATGTATGAACTTTGTGACTCATGAAAAGGAATTTTTCTTCAAGATTTGGGTCCTCGAGATCATGTTCTTGTAAATTTATTACTAGGGTTGCAATCAATGCGAGGCCGTCTTACCCTTCGTTCCCAAACCATCGCTTATTTAAAGCTGCGAGGTTTTGGTGATGCCTGTCATCATCGGTCTCCTCGTGAGCCGCGTGTCGCAACTGCCCGCGCCATCACATTAATCTTCGTCCGCTTCTCACTCTCTGACTCCGGCACTGCCATGGGCTCTTCGAACCCACAGTCGTTTGCCAGAGAGGAAGGATCCGCTCCCCCTGTACGCTCTGCCTCCTCGCTTTTACTCCCGTCTTTTCCTCCTCTGTTGTTCTGCACATTCTTTCATTTGGTCTTTTGCGAGTCTATAAACAAACTAGTCTTTTAATTGTCTGAATATATCGATAAATTTATGGCTATTTGAGTTCCTCTGCTACTGCATCTGCCTCAACTTCTCACATCAGAACATAATCTTGATGCTGTCACTTTGTGCCATACGGTGTGTTTGATCTCTGGTTCTTGGAGCAGGACCAGAAGAAATCTTCTTGGAAGACTGTGCTAACTCTTTCATACCAGAGTCTGGGTGTGGTCTATGGAGACCTGAGTACTTCAACTTTGTATGCATACAAAAGCACATTCTCAGGGAAACTGAGCCTTCATGAGAGTGATGAGATAGTGTTCGGTGTGCTCTCATTCATCTTTTGGACATTAACTATCATTCCTCTTTTCAAGTACATATGCTTTGTGCTATCAGCTGATGACAATGGTGAAGGTAGGACCTTACTGGGTTGTTGACCACAAAAGAATACATATCCTTCAAGGTTTTTGTGTTATGTTGGCTGGCATGCTCTATGTTGTAGATGGCTTCTCGAAGGAGAATGTCCCCAATCTTGGAAACTTGATTTAACCTTATATTGTTCTTAGTGTTGATTACCTTTGTCTGTTGCGTCAGGTGGAACCTTTGCACTATATTCACTTCTTTGCAGACATGCCAAGTTATGCATGCTGCCTAATCAGCAAGATGACGACAAGGACTTGTCAGCTTATGATGATGAAGGGGCAGACACATGGGGGAGTAATCTGCTCAAGGATTTCTTCAAGAAGCATCCGATGTTCAGAGGTGGTCTGCTTGTAGTTGTTCTTCTTGGAACTTCTATGGCGATCGGTGACGGAGTGCTCACACCAACAATCTCTGGTAAGTATCAAATTCAGGTGATATATTAACTCCAAAGCATGGCCCCGATGGATCAAACCGATGTTTGTCAAGAATAGAAGCCTTGAATCAGTAGGAGAAGATGCCCCTATGCATTTCTCATGTGTTGCTTTCGAGCAATCCTTGCTGCATTCATCATTTCAATGAATTCATACTTCAATGCAACTAGTTGGAGCTATCCAACATTTGCGGTGGATATCTGCATCAGAGTCTTTGTCATAGCTTCTTCCTACAGAAGAAGACATTTATAAAAAGTGAAATTTATATCTGAAGCCCTATTTTGAAACTTGAGCTGTCTGAATCAATAACCTTTCCAAACTATTTGTTCCTTAGATGACAAATCATCAAAGCCTTAGCGAAAGATGCTATAAACTACACATAAGTAGTGGCTCATTTTTTTGTTGATTTGATACTCTTCACTATCAACTTTAGATTTATTTAGTGCTGTTCTTTAGGTGCCAAACTTATTTGAATCTTTAATCAAAGACAACACTAAAACTTCTATGTTGTTTCTATACTTCACAATCTGAATCCAACAGAAGTTTTGCATGTTTTTCCAGTTCTTTCAGCGGTATCGGGTGTTGGAGTGAAACTTCCCCATCTTCATGAGAGTAAGTTCATCGATCAATTTCTTTGCCCCTCTTTACATGCTGCAAGTGCTACTGCTACTTTTTTTTTTTTTCCAGGTAATGCAACTTCATTTTGGTGCTTATTTTTCAGATTATGTCGTCGCAATTTCATGCGTAATCTTGGTGGGTCTCTTTTCTCTTCAGCACCATGGAACACACCGTGTCGGTTTTATATTTGCTCCAATTGTCATAGCATGGTTTCTATTTATCAGTGCTATAGGCATCTACAACATTTTCAAATGGAATCCCGGCATTTTTTGTGCTCTTTCACCGGTTTACATGTTTAGGTTCATCAAAGCCACTGGCACGGATGGCTGGGTATCATTAGGAGGAGTTATGCTTTGTATTACAGGTAATGCCACTCCCTAATTCTCCAAGAAAAAAATATACTGCACATTATGTCTTAAATTGTGTATCGAAGACATTCGCAACCATCATGCAGCTACTTTGTACTTCAGGTACCGAGACTATGTTTGCTAATTTGGGTCATTTCTCTTCCCTTTCCATCAAGGTGAGCGAATTTATCGTCTTAATATGTGGAATTTGTGGTCTGGCCGTTAATCCTGACACTTTTACTTAGAACCATGCCATTCTAGATTGCCTTCACCTGTCTGGTGTATCCCTGTCTAGTTCTTGCATACATGGGCGAAGCTGCTTTTCTCTCTAAGCACCATGAAGACATTCAACGAAGCTTCTATAGGGCAATACCAGGCAAGATGCACTGCACTTACTCCTCATTCTAACACATCAGAACTCGATACGGTACTCAGAATTGACACATTTATGCATTCTGAAAATTACAGAGCCAGTATTCTGGCCAGTCTTCATTGTGGCCACTCTCGCAGCGGTGGTCGGAAGTCAGGCTGCAATATCTGCAACCTTCTCCATTGTAAGCCAGTGCTGTGCTTTCAGTTGCTTCCCTCCTGTGAAGATTGTCCACACTTCAAACCAAATATATGGACGGATCTACATTCCTGAAGTCAATTGGATGCTCATGTGTCTGTGTCTGGCTGTCACGATCGGACTGCGGAACACCAACTTCATCGGTCATGCTTACGGTAGAGCTCTTTTATCTTTTCGAGCATTCATGTTTTATGGATAAGCTGCCTGATCAACTGACCTCATCGACAGGGCTTGCAGTCACAATCGTCATCTTTGTAACCACTTGCCTGATGTTCTTGGTGATCATAGTCGTCTGGAGGCAGAAGGTAAGAACGGCCGTGGCTTTTCTTGTGTTCTTCGGATCGATAGAGCTGTTATATATATCGGCATTGATGATAAAGATCCCAGAAGGGGGGTGGCTTCCGCTTGCTCTCTCTACGATATTTATGGTTGTCATGTATGCATGGAACTATGGCACATTAAGGAAGCATGAATCTGATTTGGAAAACAAGATTTCAGTAAGCAGAATACTGGCTTTAGGGCCTAAGCTCGGGATCGTTCGCGTGCCGGGAATTGGCCTTGTTTATGCTGATCTGGTGACCGGGATGCCTGCCATTTTTGGGCACTTTGCCGCGAATTTGCCTGCATTCCATCAAGTTCTAGTGTTCGTGTGCATCAAGTCCGTGCAGGTTCCCTTTGTTTCTGAGGATGATCGATTTCTGGTCGGCAGGATTGGACCAAAAGAGTATCACATATTCCGGTGTATCGTTCGGTACGGGTACAAGGATCTGCAGCAAGAAAACTCTGAGTTCGAGAATGATCTTGTGTCTAGAATTCTAGCTTTCGTAGAGACGGAAGATGATGATGGAGAAGCATCGTCGGATTACGAGTCTGGTGAATCGGGCATTCGGCGCCTCGAGCATACTTCCGATCACACTGTGCAGCATTCCGATACCCATTTGGCGAGGCCTCCGGCACTTGAATTCTGGGAGAGTTGTCAGCTGAAGACGGAGTCCTTAGAGATCCTGACGGCCAAGGAATGTGGAGTGGTATACATTCTCGGGCATTCCTACGCCAAGGCGAAGAAATCATCGTCTGTCTTGAAGAAACTCGCCATCGACGTTGTTTTCTCCTTCCTGAGCAAAAATTGCAGGGCACCTGTTGTTCTTCTGAATGCACCTCACTCTTTATTGCTTGAGGTTGGTATGGTGTGCTATGTTTAACTCTGCAAGCTCGTCTCTCTTCTTCTCCGTCTTCTTGATATTGTACATGTTTATGGAGGAGGAAACCTAAGTTGGTCACATAATCGACATGACCATTTCTCTTCCCTCAACAAGTATGTGCATATATCTTACATTTGTTCGAAATCCCTCCCCTCAACAAGTATGTCCTCAGAGCTAAAACTTCTCCGCGATCGTATTCCTCTCTTGCCTCACCTCGATCACCATCTGCAGCAAGCTTGTCGGTGTTGGTGGTGTTCTCTGATGCCAATGAAGGAGCGTTAGAAGAGGAAGATGCTGCTGACATTTGTGATCAAGCAAAAGACATGTTCGGTCGTAGCATCACCATCATTTATTAGAAGATCGAGACTTAGAATCAATCCTGGCCGTTGGATGCGGAATCGGTCCCGATGATGATGGAGCTGCCACCGCCGCTTCCTCCTCCCGATGGAAGTCGGTTCATGTAACTCGTCACCTCCTCCACTATCATCTCTCTTATTATAGCCAACAAGCACATCCCCGCCGTCGGCTCCTCCCACAGCCGCCCTCCACCGCCGTCTGTCCCGCCGCCCTCCCCTAGCCGTCCAAGAGTTAGAGACGTAACCGGACCGGACCCCCCGGCGCTGCCGTCAGTCGCGTCGTCGTCCCTCAAGCACGGGCGCTTCCCAGATAGCGAGCCCGAGTCCGACTCGCCCGGCTCGTCGGAGTCGGCGGCAACGGGCGCTGTGGCCGCGGCGTCGAGCTGCATCGGGGAGGACGGGACGGGTCGCTCGGAGGCGGACGCGTCGACCGCGTCAGCGGCGGCTTGGAGGCGGCGGCGGAGGGTGGAGTTCCAGTGGTTCTTGACGGCATTGTCGGTGCGGCCGGGGAGGAGGCGGGCGATGGTGGCCCACTTGTTTCCGTACAGAGCATGGGCCGCGACGATGGCCTCGTCCTCGGCGGGGGTGAAGGGGCGGCGGTGTACGGTGGGGCTGAGCTGGTTGCACCACCGCAGCCGGCACGACTTCCCCGACCGCCCGGGGATGCTCGCGCTGATCACTGTCCAGTTGCGCGGCCCGTGCTGCTCCACCAGCCGCATAAGAACCGCGTCCTCCTCCGGGTTCCATGAACCCTTGACAGGTTGCTCCCCAACATCGCCACCCTTCACCACCGCCATCTCTTCTTCTCCTACTACATATATCACCATATTTATCGCTCGAGTCGACGGACTCCGTTGGGGTTTCGTTTGGTTTGCGGTTAGTGGTGGTTTTTAGGACGCATCCAATTTGACGACCGTTAGCCTCTGGTTCGTTGGGATTGGATCGGCATGAGACGTGAACCGCTTGCAATCGAACCACTTTACCGCCAAAGTCGCGTGGGTTCCTCTCTCTTCTTGTTGGTTGAGATTATAAAGTTCACTTTTCTTTTTGCTGAAATCCTCATAATGTTATGATTATGTTTTCATAAAATGAAGCATCGAAGGGGAACGATCCTAAATTAAGGTGAACTACATTTATTTGAATCATGCAATTAATTCCGGTACATGATAAGACTTGGGCTAGGTTTAGTTAAAAGCCCATTAAGTTAGGCCCAAACGAGAACACTCTTTACAAGCCGATCAAGGGCTAATTATATATTAGCTATGTAATTAAATCTCTTTAGTATCTCAGTCCTTAAAATTATATATATATATATATATATATATATATATATATATCAGAATCTTTATATTTATAAAAGTAGAACATCTAGCTTCATTTATTCTAACATGTTTGGTTTTATCGATGAAAATATGAAAATGATGGATAAAAAAATAATTTTAATATCTCAATTATATTTTCGATGGTGGTGGACTACGACATCGTTAGGAGTCGTCGATGGCTACTGTGGATGATTAGAGAGAGTGGCGACGAGAGATAAGGCAAAGGGAGTGAAAGAAGATGACAATGCAAATGTCGATGCTCAACATCTACATCGTTGTTGATGCAGATACAAAGCGGCAAAAGGGTGATGATCTACTGCAAGTCGGATGTGACCTTCCTTTGTTGGTCCTACGATGCATTCATCCATAGTCGTCAACTTTTTCATTGCTCACTATATTCATTAGGTTACCTATGCCGCTTGCCACTCCCTTAATGCTGACTGTCGTGTTTTCGACATAGGTCCATGGGGGGGGGGGGGGGTTCGTGCCCTTTGTGATTCCTATAATCCCGATCTTGTTATCTCCCCATCGCACTCGATGATATTCTCGTCCTCTAATTCTTGTCTCTCTACCTCTAAGTCCACGGTGGTACTTCAGGTAAAAAAGCTCGTAGATCCTCAATAAACAATCATGAAATGATGGTATGGGATGGTTAAGGAGAGGGTGGAGGGCATCTTGCTAAGTTAGAGTCGGAGGATGGGCTTACAGATCGACGTTGATACAGAACATCGAAATTTGTATTATCCTCTTCCTCCTCTCCTTTTGCTCAATTATCGTCGTCTCTTTCCCTCATCATTCACAATAGATACTTATGAAACGTTAATAAACGTTAATATCTGTATTGTCATCTTCCTTCTCTTTTTCTACTCAACTATTATCAATAATCACTCATGGCCTTAGCAACATTATCGCCCATCACAACTAAAAGTGAAATTAAGATGTTAAAATTATCTTTTATTTATTATTTTTATGTTAACGTCGATCAAACTAACAACGCTAGATAAATAGAGTTGGATATTGCATTTTCATTTTAAGCCTAACAATCATATAATAAAAAGGGATTTAACTACGAAAAATAATTATAATTAACCCGTCGGTCGATGCTTCCGTCTACGAAAAATAATTATAATTAACCCGTCGGTCGATGCTTCCGTCTCTATTTAGACGAATACTAAACCGTCAGATGCAGATCTAAAGGGATTCTTAATGTAGCTGAACAATTCCTTTGCAAAGATGACAGTAATTGGTAAAGTGCATAGCAATTATTCGTCACAGGAGAACAATCTCAGCAACTAAACCGATGATAGAAGCGGCTTCGTCGTGGAGGTTCTTTTGCGGTGGTGTTACTGAGGGTTTGGAGGCCTGCTGTTGGCTGCTGAAACCCTGGAGCCCCACTCGAGCAACTCTTTGCTGGTATCATCCTTGTGCACGATGATCTCTATGAAGCAGAGGCAATCTTTCTTCGCCCCCATCGCTGCCTCGATTGCCTCCTTGAGCTCCTCCTCACACGTGACCTGGGCGAGCACAGGTTGATTACACTTGGAACACGGAGTGCAAACGGCAGGACTGGCCATGAAGAGAATGTGCTCACCTTTGCGGTCCAGCAATTGCCCTCGCCGTTGTGGATGGCATCCACCAGACCAGTGTAGTTCCAGTTCTTGATGACATTGTAAGGCCCATCATGGATCTCGACCTCAATCGTGTACCCGCCATTGTTTATGAGGAAGATGATGGTGTTCTGGCCGCACCTCAGCATCGTCGACACATCCTGGGCTGTCACCTAAAATCCACAGAGACAGATTCGGGCATTAGATTCCATGGCTCAAGCATAATCCTAGATGTGGTGCATCCACAGTCGACCGTGATGGCTGACACCTGAAAGCTTCCATCGCCGATGCAGGCGATCACGCGCTTATCCTTTGCGGCCTGTGCATACCCGAGCGTCGCTCCGACGGACCAACCGATCGATCCATACTGCATTTGGAACTCGTATCTGGAACACAAGAACATCTCATCAAGAAGCAAGAAATTACAGCTGATCTGAAGTGGATGGATGACCATTTCAAGCGACCTACCCGCATCCCTCCGGCAGTTTCAGCTTCTGGCAGTTGAACCATGAGTCCCCTGTCTCGGCGATCACGGCAGTGTTCTCCGACAGCATCCGTTGGATGTGCTTGAAAAGCACGTTCACCCTCAATGGCTCCTTGGGTTGGCACTCCAGTGGCTGTCCCTCGGGCACGTAGATCCTTCGGTAGTTCTCGTGCGCGGTGGTGTTCGTGTTGAGCCTCTTCGCAAGCTCGAGGAGGAAGTCCTTCATGAGGATGCACCCGAAGGCCGGGCCGTTGGCGACCACCACCCGGTCGGGCTGGACGATTATAGCCTTCTCCTTCTTGAGGAGGAGGGAGTACCCGACGGAGCTGTAGTCGTTGAAGATGGGGCCGGCGAAGAGGTAGGCGTCCGCCGACTCCACGATCTCGGCGCAGAAAGCCGTGCTCACGGCGCCCCAGTAGGTGCCAAGGAACCTGGGGTGGTGCTCCGGGACGAGGCCCTTGGCCGACGGCATCACGGCGATGGGGTAGCCGGAGGCGTCGGCGAGCTCCACGAAGGCCTTTCCGGCCTTCGCGACCCGGATCTTGGGGCCGCCGACCAGCACCGGCTTCACGGCCTTATTCAGGACCTGCGCCGCGGCCTCGACAGCGGCTTCCAGTCCCATCTGGTTGCTCAATCTAGCAATTCCAACGATAAAAACCCATCAGAAAATCTTGCCCCAAACCTAATCTACAGTCCACTGAAGAAAGAAAAGAGAGCGATCCATCGAACCTGGGAGAGATACAGAAGGGGACGGGCTCGCGGCTGAAGGTCGGATGCGCGATGCCGGGGAGATTGCAGCTGACACTGATGTAGACGGGCTTGCTCTCCTTGAGAGCGGTGGAGATCGCGGTGTCGATGAGTTCGTGAGCGTCATCCAGGTTATTAACCACCGCCTATGCATCCAAACACATCGATTGCAAGATGTCAGCGTTATGGAGCTCAACAGGCAAAAATCGGATTCTTGTTCTCGCTCCTCCAGAGAGAGAGAGAGAGAGGATCGGGATCCGAAAGATAAGAACCTGGAAGCAGGTGACTGTCTGGAAGCACCGGAGTTCCTGGGAGAAGTCGGAGAGGCCGATGGTGTGATGGAGGACGCGGTTGGTCCCGTAATCGTTGGAATTGGGCCCGCCTACGATGCAGATCAACGGGAGGTTCTCGCTGTAGGCGCCCGCTATGGCGTTGAGCACGCTGAGGCCGCCGACGGTGAAGGTCACGACACAGGCGCCGACGCCCCGGGAGCGGGCGTATCCATCGGCGGCGTACCCGGCGTTGAGCTCGTTGCAGCACCCGATGAGGCGGAGGCCCGGCTCGGCGATGAGGTGGTCGAGGAGGGTAAGGTTGAAGTCGCCGGGTACAGCGAAGACGTCGTGGGCGCCCACCTGGACGAGGCGGCGGGCGAGGTGGCGTCCGAGGGTGGCCTCGGCTATCGCCGCCACCGAAGCCGGCGCAGCGGGGCCGACGGAGCAGCACTGTGCCGCCGGGGGGCAGCCCACGACGCCGTTCGCCTTCGCCTCCGCGGCCCCGTCCACCGATCCGATCCTAGTGTCCATCGCCACTGCGGAAAAGAAGTGTGGATCGTTTCTTCCTTTACTCTGTTTCTTTGACCTGTGCTCTTTAGGAACGCGCGCTACGCTCTTTATACTAATCAATGGGAGATATTTTAATGACTCCTCCGTTCATTTCCTCTCACAGCTTAGATGGTTTCACGTGGGTCCCATCCGACGGGTAATCATAGTAAAGGTAGGGAACGCGTTGATATGCGAGACCACGAGTCATCACAGCCGTCTGATCGACGAAAGATTCCGTCAAGACGGTGAGGGCACCCTCCTTTTGATTCGATCCCATGGGCTCTCTCAGTCAAGATTTCCACGTCCATATCGGTGCTCGTGGGATCGACGGGTGGTCGTCGTTCGCTTAGAGTCACGCGGAGTGCGGGGAAGCCAAGGTGGGTGGGCGGAAACCACGTCGCCCTCTGGTTGCGCTGATCGCGGATTACACGCAGTGGTTTTGGATTGGAGACAGACTGGGTGCATCTGGGGAGGTGTAGTATTGTCCTTAAGCAAGTCATAATGCTGATGTTTGAATGGGCTAATGTGTTAAACCAGCGTGACTAAATAGACATACATGCATTCGATGAAACCATGAATTTTTCTTTCTGCATTTTACCAAATAATTGATATCACATATTTTAATATCATTCACGTGACCATGATAGCACCAACGAAGGAGCTCTAGACTGACACGATGCAACACCTTGGATTCGAGGGGGTTGACCACATGCTCTTACGTCGTTCTAGCTTGTACAATTCAACGTCGTACATCATATAACTATTTCACAAAGCTCCAAACGACTTTTACACGATGAGAACTCATATAGGTTGATGCTAAATATTATAGAACCGTTTTTAAAAGTTTAAAATGACACCACATGATGCGAGTCCATACAGATTGATCAACGCCCATCCATAAGATACAAACCAGTTGCTTGAGAAGTCTGCAACAATTAACGAACCATGTATAACAAATCTCTCTTCGCAAATATAAAAACTAACCCCCTGACCAACAGCGCGAGAAAAACTTCGAGCATTCAACTCTTTACTCCACACTAACTTCGACTTTAAAGGAGTTGAGCCAGGAAATCCTCCTCCTGAAGCATTCATTCGACTTGATTCTTCAATTTATCTCAAACTTAATTAAAAGATACATGAGCTCGTCTTTTTCTTAAAGCAAAAATACCACTTACTTAGTCCAGAAAGTGTCTCTCTTTACCTCATGTGGAGGAGCGTCGCGCAGCACAAGGTAGTGGGGCGGGTCAGAGCGGGCCCGGCCACATAGGTCCGATGGGAAGGCCATTGCGTAAGCCACTATCCCTTTATACATATGTATATTAATTATCACGTTCCCTTTCCAAATTTAATTGGCACATTCACCCGTTGTCATTGTGATACTAATTTTTTGTCACCGTGTCGAAGTTATCAAAGAAATAAGTTAAATTGTGAGAATAATTTTTATATGAAAATATATTGTTTTTTTTCTGTAGCTTTATTCTACATTTCCCAACAACATGAAATATTTAGCTCCTTCCATAATATTATGCATGTGGGAATATAGAGTAGGTTGATCCCGACCCTTCAAAGTCGAGATCATGGCAGGAGAAACCGATGGACGGTCGTTGTTTGCTTGGAGTTGCGTCCGGTGCAGGGAAGGGGAGAATGGCGGTGTTCGCATGTTTCCTACAATGGTTTTGGGTGGATTAATGTGTTCAGAGGACATGACCAAACGAACGCGTAAAGCTTCACAATGAAGTGTTCGAGTCTCCTCCCTTTTCATTCGAGGTTTACGGTTTGATTCGTGCATGATATCAGCTTTGTGAAAAGGGACGGGTGATCTTTTCACGTCCACGAAAATTAAAGGTGTCTCCGCTACTGTCAAGGTGTGATACATTCCCAAGAATCAATTCGACTCGATGCGAATCTGTATGATATATAGAGTTCTCTAACTTTCTTCTCCTGCGTTCCTGCATCTCTCCATCTTTTACTAGTATTGAAGGCAAAATATGAAGATGCTAATATCATATGACTAAGGATAGAAAGGATCAGACTACATATATTATTACTTGGATCATAATCTAAACACTTTTAAATTTTGAGTTGAATTAATGTCTGACTTGATATATATTAATCTTAGATTGACTTAAACTCATCTTTTTGATCGGACTACATGAGTTGACCTAAAATTCAGATCGATGCCTGAATAATATGCTGCTTTTGGGATCTTAGTTTGACACAAAGGTGAAGTGATATATGTACGAAAGGGTTACGGCCATTCAAAAATGAGTTGCTTTAGTTATTTCTTTACGTAAGAGATCATTCATACGCATGTTATACGATGTACGTGATGAAGATAAGTATATGTATACACAGCCGAAAGCTTGGGTTGATCACATGTGAATCCCCTCCTCCATGTTGAGTCCTAGCCGAGCGCACCTTTCCCTCCCGTATCTATGCATGCACATCCGGCGGCAGAAAGATCACAGATCCACATCGAACAACAACGAAGGTGAAAACGCAGCACAGATAGCTTCAAACAAAGGAGGAAGCCGAATGGGAAGCTCGCGTCTCAGCACAGTCCCAAGGTGATTAATAATGGCCACCAACAGCAACCGGATGCGACTGTCCCTTTGCATGAAGACAACCTCGCTTGTTCCCGATGCCTTCTCTCCCCTACGCCCCAGCCGCATCACCATGCTCCCGACCGACCCCTCATGCTCTCTTCCACCCCACGAAGAGGCTCATCATGCCACCGGAGCATGGCCCTTGCCATCCCCCAGCCCCCCCCTTCATCACTCACTA